TTTATATTCACCAAACAATAATTGTGTTCTTATTTACATTGACATAATTATTGAATATTTTTGTAATTCGCTTATATTAGTTCATAATATACTCATATGCAACATTGATCAAGAACCTAATTGAAACCACTTTTTTCTTACATGCGATTGCATAAAATGAAAATAATAGTTAGTATTATGACCATTCTAGATATATAAGAGTCTGATTGATTTGTTATTTTTTCATTTGACAGTTCATGGTTTGGTTTATTTATAAAAAATCCTGAAAATAGAGGTTTTAATAAAACTATGTAAAATAAAATATATGTATTATACTGAATTTCATATTTTAAATGTAGGGATGGAAAAGTCTTTTACATATATCAAATATTTTAAAAAATCAAAAATCTAAGAAAAAAATGGGTTTCTAACGTTTAGAGGATAACACCTCATTATGTTTGGTTTATTCTTTAAGAATTAAAAATATAAAAAAATAACTTCCAAGCTCAATGCTAAAAAAGAAAAAAAAATCACAATATACCGATCAACATCAACAAAAACAAAAACTCATATCATATTTGTTTTCATGAATGACGCCTCAAATCAACAAAAAAAACAAAACACATCCACAAAAACTGAATAAAGAATAAGAATTGGGAGATTAAAAGAGATTATTATGCTAAACAATGTTACCTTATTTCATTAAAGATTCATATGTCACTTTATCCACACAAAAAAAAACATATGCGTACATAATTCCAACTTTAATGTGAATTCTCCGACTAAAAGACGAAATACTATACTTACATAAGCAAAAACTCATACTATGATTAGTCTTATTGAATAACGCCTTAAATCAACAAAAATGCAAATCACCCCCACAAAATTATAACTGAATAGAGAAAAAGAATTGAGAGATTAATATAAAGAGATTCATATGTTTGTATAATTCCAATTTTAGTGTGAATATCTCCAATTAAAAGACAAAAATATTATACTTACATTAACAAAAACCCATATCATATTTCTCTTATTGAATGACGTCTCAAATAAACAAAAGTGCAAATCACCTCAAAAACTGAATAGAGAGGAAGAATAGAGAGGGTTTTTTTTCTATTCAATGTTACATTATTTCTTCAAGGATTCATATGTCACTTTATCCACACACAAAAACTCCATATGTCTACATAATTCCAACTTTAATGTGAATATCTCCGACAAAAAAAAGAAATATTATACTTACATAAGCAAAAACCCATATTATGATTTGTTTTATTGAATGACACCTCAAATCAACAAAAATGCAAAWCGCATCCAYAAATTTATAACTGAATAGAGAGGAAGAATTGAGAGATTAATAGAGAGATTATCATAGAGGTGTACCACAAAATTATACATGAATAGAGAGAGAATTGAGAGATTAATAAAGAGGTTATCATAGAGATGTACCATAAAAGTATACATGAATAAAGATGAAGAATTGAGAGATTATTATAGAGGTGTACCATGAAGAGAAGATGAAAAATTATAACTGAATAGAGAGAAATAATGAGAATTAAAAGAGTACTTATTAGAAGAACATGAATAGGTTGAAACAACCTAATTAAAGGATCTTAAATGTGAATATGAAACATAAAAAACAAATATTAAAGTAGGAGAAGATTGAGAAAAAGAGAAAAAAGATAAATCATTTTCTTGTTTTGAGAAGAGGCCACGTCATTGCATGTGGTTTCTTCTTTAATACATATATATAGATATATAGATTTAGATATTTAGATTTATCATTTGGTTGGTTTGGTTTCTAACCATGGTTATAGATTTCAAAGAAAATCATTTAAAATAAGGCAAACTTATAAGACAAACCTCATTATTTAACACAAAGGCATCCGATGCACTTTCATATACAATTCATTCTGTTCAAATCTTTCAATTCTTCACCAATGTGGGACAACTAAAATTCAAGTACAATCCACCATTTGAGAATACTTAATTTTCATTGTCACCTCAATATCCTAATAAGATAACTTTATGACTCGCTGAGCTAACGCAATATAAGATTAGTTTTGCAAAAATAAGGTCATCCAAATAAGATAACCTTATGACTCAAACCTCATAAGTTGACACAATAAGTCTCATTCTTTTTTCTTATACACATCTTCTTATTCCAATCTTTCAATCTCTCACCAATGTGAGATATCTCAAACTCAATCATAATTCACCAACACCTTAATACTCAATTCTCATGATGTCACCTCAATACTTTTGGTTCTTCCTTTTTATATACATATATATACATATATATATATATATACTATATATGAAGATATAATAATATAATATAATTAATTTTGCACTATGAATTCTACCATTTGGTTTGATTGGTTTCCAACCATTGTTATAAATTTCAAGAGGGTCATCCAAATAAAGACAACCCTATAAGGCAAATCTCATATTTGACACAAATGCATCCAAATTCACCTTTCTTATACACTTCATTTTGTTTAAAATTTTCAACTCTTCACCAATGTGGGATATCTCAAACTCAACCATAATTCACCAACACTTCAATACTCAATTTTCATGATGTCACCTCAATACTCTTGGTTCTTCCTTTAATATATATATAGATTCTAAGGTTATTTATTACGAATAATTATAACACAGAATATAAATATAGACATAATAAAATGGACAATGTCTTTTATTTATTTTATTAATTTCATGAAAGAAAACTCAAAATTACAATCATCATATAATTGGTTTTTAATTCACCAGCACTTTCGTCATCGTGCAATGGGCGGTGCGACATATTAGTTTAATAATAATAAAAAGACCGGTGGTTGAACTGTTACGAGTTTTCCTCCTAGAGACCGGTTAAGACTGCTTGCACTATTCATGATTAGGATTAGGGAGATGGTTAGTACTCCTCCCTATTCGGCGGCTATTAAACCAAACGTGATTCATCCTATCGACGGATTATAAATATAATATTACTTAGAAGCAATATCGATCAATATGATCTTAACGGAGAAACGGAGGGTTTCTTTAAAGGGGGTAGAGGTATTCGTCAAGGAGATCCTTTATCGCCTTAATTGTAATGGAAGGGTTTGCGATGATACTTCAGCAATATATCTTGGAGGCCAATTCTTTTGGATATCATAAAGGATGCCAGATTTACATTTACAGCTCACGCACCTTTCTTTTGCAGATGACTTGTTCATTTTTACAAAGGTGATGTGGCTTCGGTTGAGGTGTTGAAGAGTGCTCTTCAAATATTTAAAACAAGTACGGGTCTATCATATCTCCTAGCCTTGCGAAAAACAAGGATAATACAAAGCAGGCCATCTTGAACTGCCTACCTTTCTGGGAAAGAGTGTTCCCTATACGACACTTGGGTGTTCCGTAATCTCCCTCAAGACCAGAGGCAACCGAATTTTGGGATTCTTATAACCAAAATCAAGAACCGTATCCAGAATCGGAAAGCTAAGTTCCTATCTTTTGGTAGGCTGTGCCAACTCATCAAATTGGTACTTCAATCTCTCCAACTTTACTAGATGTCAGTATTTTGATATCATCGGTTGTGATTCATGATACTAAGTCTATTTCGTGACTTTCTATGGTCACAAGGCACCAACTCAAAGGGACGATGTCGTATAGCATGGGATGAAGTGTGTAGGACGAAATCTAGCAGTGGACATGGATTTAAGAAGTTAGCTGTGTGGAACCGTACATTGCTGGCTTCTTTACGTCTGGGATGTGTTACAAAGGCGGCAATCTCTTTAGGTTAGTTGGCCCTACTTACATCGGTTACGTACCACTCACTTTTGGCATGTTCGTAAGAACTCCAATCGGTCGTTGGTTTGGCGTAGATTGTTGGATATTCGAGAGCAAGTAAGACCGCATTTTGTGATGGAAATTGATAATGGGGCTCCAACCAGTGCATGAGAGGATAATTGGTTAACAATTGGTAACCTATCTAACTTCATCGCTAATAAATGTATCCATGCAACCAGTTTGGTGGCTCTATCTATGGTTCGGGACCTAATTGACTATCTAGAAGGATCTTGGCCGGATACTTGGATCCAAAGGGAAGGGTGCCTTTAATTGTTGTCTACTTGTTAATCACGGATCCCGAATGAAGGTGTAAGTGACGAGGTCTTGTGCCCAAAATATTCGTCTCGTCTGGTTTGTGTAGTTTGGAGGGATGACATGTGGTTGTGGCTTGGCATAAATGAGTTTGGTTCCCAGCTAAGATCCCAAAGCATGCCTTCGGCCTCTGGCTTTGCTTTTCATGGTCGTCACCCACCCTACCCTACCCTACCCTGGATAGGATGAGAGCTTGGAAGCATAAACCACCCCATATACTTTGCTCACTTATTTTTTGAGTGGATAGCGGTTAAAAATGCTGGTGGTATACAAAGTAGTGTGGATGTTTGAAATGGTGTTGGCATAACTTGGAATCTGGTGCAAAGGTTATGCCTAGCTTAGCTACCAGAGACTGTAGACGTTGGGCTATACAAATTGTTAGATGCAAAGGATGGGCTGGAGCTGGAAACATAGATGCAGAAGGGCTTAAAAGAATAATAGTACGTGGACTTTGATAAGAGATGTGGCTTCATGATCTTAGTTTTGGTTTTGGATTCTTTACTTATTTCGCCTTTTCTTTCTGTGTCGTTTTTTGGTTTATTGCTGCTTGGTTTTCTTTGGCTTCTGAGTTTGTAACCTTTGTTTTAAATAAATTGCCTGGAGAGATCTTTTCCAGAAAACAATAACCACAACCTTTATATAATATGATTATGATTACATATGATCATAAAAAAGAACAAATCTCAAGTACCAAATACAAAAATATCCGATAGAATGCTTAGATGAATTGGTATATTTTTTTTATTAGATTTTAATTTATCATCTAACAACCAACCAATCCAATTTCTTATAATTGGATCAGATTACTTACGCACACCACTTAACGATATACTTTCTATGGCATGAGCTATCAAACTAGATTCCACGAGCATTTCAGCAAATAAGCCCAAAACACTCCTATAACAGTTTACATTATTACATGCGAGTAGTCATGATACAATGAGTGTATGCATGTTATAAATACCATACCAAACCAAACCAAACCAAACCCACACAATAAATTATTTACGTTACAAATGCACACCAAACCAAACCGACTTGTCAGTAGTTATGACGGTACAATTCGTTTATCTACGTTATGAAACCCAACTAAACCAAACCGAATTTACACAGTAAATCCCATTTGAATATATGGTCTGAGAGGTGAGATATACACAAACCTAACCCCTACCATAAAGAGTTAAGCGTCTCTTTCTATGAGAACCCCAACTTGTGTTGTATCTACATTATGATATGTATGGAAATCTGCCTTCTTGATTATATGTTTCTTTTGTCCCTTTCTACAAATGAAAGGACAACTTTAACCCCCAAGGACAAGGACAACCACTTCACCTTTTTTCATAACTGTGAGTAAGTACCCAGGGCAACTTGTTCGCACCTCGACTAATCCCATGGGGTCTTAAAGACAACAACCAATACCCACTGACCATTGTTATATTGAAGAATTGGTGAAAACCCCATGAAATTCTTTTGCTACACTTTACACTCGCTGCATTTCTGGAGACTTCGATATTTCTGTGTACATTTCCGCTATTGCTTTGGAAAAGTATGCCTTGGCTTGAGGTCTCTTGATCTAACAACGATAAAAGAAACAATGTGAGAACATGTTTATAGAATTTTTGAAGTGCTTGTAAGCATTTTCTTGGCTTGGCATTTCAAAGCATCTCTAACAGATTCTCTGGAATGAAGAAAATGGATAGTCTACTTTTTTGCTCCAACAGATTCTTTACAACTTCCTCTAACATGGAGAAAGTAGAAGAGGGAATAAAAACCTCAAAATTTTAAGAACTCCCCTAAAATTAAATGTTTAAGAGAGAGAATTGTTTTTTATTGTTTCCACCAATAAGTTTGAATGTATTATAATTTTATATTAAAAATTTATATAATATTTTTAACAATATAGTTTATGTTGAAACCTCTAGAATAGAGAAACTATTGGCATTGAGAGTAACGTTTCTAGATATTTGAACTTTTACTTTTTTATTTGAGAGATTATAAAGAATCCATTGGAGATAAGTCGAATTTGCATTCAGCATACATGCCTTAAATGTAGGAGTGAGCAGACCATTCTCCATAGTGAAAGGTTCAACCACCAAGGTCACAGCTTTCACACATTCAAAACCTCTTAGCTGGAAATTAGGACATGAAATAGGTAAATGAAAATAAACTTGAATGATTGGTACTTGAAAGTTGTATACCATTGGCCCAGTGGTATCTGGGTTACCAGTACAACCCAGTCTCCTAAGAGGTCAAGGGTTCAAATCTCACCAAAGGTGAGAAGAGTGCGTGAGTATTTGCACTATATATTATATATGCGGAAGGTTCAAATAAGAAGGCTAAATATTGTGAGAAGGTAAGAAGGGAAGGTTTACATGTGAATTATTGAAAAAATTCAATTGACATATGCATCTTCAAATAGATTTTTTCAATGATCCACATACAAACCTTCCCTTAACCTTGCTTTTTTACCTTCTCACGGTATTTAGCATTCTTATTTGGATCGGCTCCTATTATATATACTTCAAAAAATGAGTTGCATATTTTATAATACCTGAGCTTTCTTGGCCGCCAGATTCATGTCGGTCTGGACGGCTGCCTTTGCTCTCGGATCATTGCAAAGTTGTCCTAAATCTTCATACTATGATGCCAAATATGTACAAAGGAATAATTAGCATAATCAACACATAATATATTGGTGAGACCACCACTTACTGCTGACTACCAGTGGTTTACCTCCCCCTAATGTGGTGTGGGCGCTCTAGAGGGTATTGTTAATACTACATTTGTCACTCCTTGTGAACACGAGCTTTAGGTTCCTTTTTCTTCATGATTTTTGCTTTTTATTTATTTCAGTTATATTACTGAGGGTCAAATAGTCGATATTGGTTGGTAGGTTGTGCTAAGGGAAGTTACATTCAATTAGTGCACAAGTAAAAGTGGGCAATGCGGGGCTGTGACAGTGAGCATGGATCATTCTGTTAGCCTTGGAAGAGTAATGGCCTCTCGAAAGCCAGATCATTCCGTCAACAATGGAAAAATCCCTAAACCCTTGTCTGGTTTGTTGATAATTCATCAGATTTTGTGAAATCGGCAGTTTCTGATTTTCACGCTTCTATTTAAGCAATAATGTGATCTTCCGTTTTGAATTCTGACCACCTGTCATAGATTAGGCATGTTATAAATCCATTTGGGATGCGGTAGCATTATCCTACTCCGATCTTGAAGATTCTTCACAGGTGTTCGAACTAAGAAATAGGGCACGAAATCTGAAACAAGAATCTGGTCATATTACAACCTATTTCAATACACTAACCAAACTTTGGCAGAAACTAGATCTTTTTTCTCAGCCCGAATGGAAAGATCCAACCGACGCTGATCTATACAAAAAGATGCTTATCAATGAGAGGACTTATGACTTTCTAGCCGGTCTTGATCCTTCACTCGATGATGTCCGTGACTGTATCCTGAGTATGAAATCCCTTCCATTAATTGATGTCATATTTGCTGAAGTTTGTCGGGAAGAACATCGGTAGAAGACTATGATGAATCCGATCCTTTCTGAAGGACAAAATCAGGCTGAAAATTATGCCATGGTTGCTCTTAACCTCGAAAGCCTTCTCTTTGGTGCAATCATTGCCAGCGGCCTCATCACATGGAGCGCACCTGTTGGAAACTTCATAGAGAACCTGCTGATTGAGTTCCTCAAAGTCAACGCATGATAGAAAATAAAGGCGCTTCCGCAAACTCAAAGACTGGACCATCCTCTTCAATAGATGCAGTTTTCTCCAAAGCCCAACTTGAGCAAATAGGACAATTTTTAAACTCCTCGACCGCACTTATGGCCAACTAACAAGCCGGGGACATGTCAGGTGAGTCATGGATTATGAATTCCCGTGCATCGCAACATATGACGGGTAACAAGTCTTTTTGGAATCTTTAACACCTCACTACTCAATAGGTGGCTGACATCCTCACTAAGGCACTGAATTTGCCTTCCTTTGATAAGCTGAAAGACAAGCTTGGATTGTATAATATATACCATCCAACTTAAGGGGGAGTGTAGATAGATTCGTATACAAAGAAAAGTGCTAAGTTGTTATAGATAGACTCCAATAGAGAGTTAGACTCCGACAGGGAGTTGCTCTAGAATAGTCCTTATCCTTATCTCTTTTCTCTCGTGTGTGTGTATATATATATCTTCTCTGTAATGTAATTGAAACAACACAAGAATATAGAAATTCATATTCTTCTGAAGTCTTTATAAACTATGAAACTCACCTTGATGCCTTCAGCTGCAGCCCATGCTTTAAGCACATCCTGGTCCAATGAGACAATGGCAACCAAAGAGGATTTCAGGCTATCACCTACCCAATGAAACACAAGTAAGCCAACAAATTAGAAAGAAAAATATATGTAAAAAATCTATCATATTCATACCATGCACAAAGCACTGAGCAACAAACTTGCAGTTGACATATATGCTCTCAATTTTCTCAGGGGCAACATATTCTCCCTGTGCCAATTTGAAGATGTTCTTCTTTCTGACATAATATAAGTAGTTAAAAAACACTTTTTAAACTCTAAATAAGTTGAGTTCCGTTGTTACCTATCAATTATCTTTAAGCGACCTTCAGGTAACCATACCCCGATGTCCCCTGTATACAGCCATCCATCTTCCGCAATCATTTCTCTTCTGACCAATCAATAATATATACTTAGATAATTACAATTTCAGATTAAGAAAAGTTAGCAGGATAGGTTAAAAGAAGGTACGTGTGTGCTTCATCTTTATAGTACCCCTGGAACACAGTTGGCCCTCTTACACAGATCTCGCCACGTGGATGAGGCTGATCTGCTGATCTATAGCCCATTTCTGGAATATCTACCAACTTAATTTCTGAAAACAGGACCATAAAACCATAGCTGTCAATTCTTGTTGAATCATACATTCACTTCAGAATCTGTTAATATAATTTACAAAATATCAAGGCAAAAAAGGTAAAAGAAGGATCTATTCTGAGTGAACTAACACCGAGAAACAATATCATTAGTCACGAGCTATTTTGTTACTGCAGTCAAAATACAAAATATCGGTCGATATTTCGGTTATATCGGTGATATATCAGTCCAAAATAGCGGTTAATATAATATTTCTTAGAATTATATATATATATATATATACATATATATATATACATATATATATATATACATGCATCCATAAACATATCATATGCATTAATAAGAGTTTAGAAATATAGTTTCAAAATTAGAACATCACATAAACAAGTCTCACAAAACAAAATAGGAAAAGTGTTAAAAAACAAGCTAATCGCAAGCAATAGGTTCGGCATCCAAGTCAATATCATCTAAAAAGTTGACTGGTTGACCAAATAAAGAAGCCAGACCGTGAAGATGGAGACCGAGAAGAGAAATAAGTGTGAACTGTGAAAGAACCAAGAAGAGAAGAAGCGTGAACTGTGAAGAACCGAGAAGAGAAGAAGCGTGAAACCTTAATATATGTGTTGACTGGTTGACCAAATAAAGAGGCCCAAAAAACTAAGCCCAACATGTAATTAAAAAAAGCCCAAGCATTTGCCTTATAGAAAATCGGTATATCGGACCGATTTTTCCATCAAAATATCGGTGAAATATTGGTAAATATCGGCGATATAATCGGAACCGATATTTCACCATTGATATTTTTCCAGAGACCGACGTCCGATATATCGCGATTTTAACAGCATAGCTCACGAGTGTGAAGTACTGACCACAAGCAGGATTTGGAGAGCCCAATTGCCCATATAAATTGTCAGCTTCGTCCATAAAGCTTATGGCACAAGAATTCTCAGTCATCCCATAAGCTTCTATAAAAACACAACCAAAGCACCTGTTGAAATGACCCAACGTATTACCGACAATAAACAATCACATTAAACAAATTATAACTATTGATGGCTATGCTAATAAGTGGGAGATAATGACTTACACTCTCAAAAATTCTAACACATCAGGAGACAATGGAGAGGCAGCTGAAACCATATAACGAATTCGTCCTCCAACCATTCCCTTTATTTTATTGAAGATCAAACTGTCCCATATTGAAGATGAATACTTGCCTGAAAGGACATTCAACAATCATAAGGAAGCGACACCAAAACAACCTCTTTTGAAATATACACAGCCTGAAAATAGAGTTCTTATAAGGAATAGAATTGGACTGATAGAGGGTAAGACTGGAAAGAACTGAACTTTGCAAAACAGTCCACAATTTTTTTCGGTTTGCATAACAATTCTTTAACTGATAACTTTGCAAAACAACGCCCATATTTTTGTCAGAGAATAACAAACAGGTTTGATGTGACCATCATACGCTATAGTGTTATTGATCACCCATATTGATGGAACATATATATGTTGAATGTCTTTTCTCTCATTTGATCACGAATACTATTTACAACTCAGGTTTGTGTAAACTTCATATAAAAAATTTATTGATATATTTAGAACCATTCAAAATCAAAAAGGGAAAGGAGTACACAAAAAACTGGGCACATGTTACAAGTCCCTTCTCAACTCTCATTTTCGTCATTGTTATTAAAGAACATCCATATCTAAGAGAAAGAAATATTCAGCATTTCTTGATCCCCAAACGAGAAAAGCTATTCACATCATCACTATAGGTAGAAAGAACTAATAAAATTAATGGAATTTCTTCATTTTTACTTTTGTCTTTTCTTCCTACTAGGGTAAAATTTAAATATGAGCATATTTTAAAGTGGAATGAGAATGTAGAGAACATTCTTCTCACACTATACAATTGCTGTAGGGAAACAAGGGCAATAGGGATTTCATAACGTGCATCTTTAAAATAAGACAAGTCCCTGAAAATGCAGCTTATGCTACTTACCACTTAATATTGCTTGTTTCTTGGCACTATAGGCAGCATTGAATAGTCTCTCCCTTAGAACACCAGATGACTTTACAGCATTCATAATGCTGCAAAACCAAATCATCGTTGTAAGTTTCTGAAGAGGACTTACAAAGTAATATACTTCAGTAGTAACAAAACTTCTTACCCAGCATATAGTCTGTTAAATACTCGAGGAACACTAAAGAATATAGTGGGTCTTAGATATGCCATATCATCCATTAATTTCAAACTGTCCTGTACCCACAATTACATTAATAGAATAAAATCTCAAACACATGTCATGGTGAGGCAAATTCATGAAATGAAATCTTGAACTCATAAGCATTACCAAAGGGTCTTTGGCCTAGTGGTACCTAGTAACCCAATCTTTCTAGAGGTCAACGGTTCCAACCTCACCAAAGTTTAGGCGTGTGTGTGAGTTTCATTTGCCGTATATAAATATTATATGCTTCAAAAAGAAAAAAAATCATGAGCATAAGGCACGTCCAGTTATTATCTGTTTACACTCTAAAACCTATCCTCCTGCCGTCTATGACAAGCATCAAAGACGTCAAACATGAGTTTGGAACATAATTCAGAAAATTCCAGAAAAATAGAAGAACAACTATTTCCAAATGCGATTTTGCTATTGGATGAATGATCATTATGTTACATGCTTCTGTTTATAGCCAAGAATAGTTACTGCAAATAACATCCAAACCTACATTACTTACATTTTCTCAACCTTATGCAATAAGGGACGGTGTTATAACTTGAATGATAGTGTCATATGGTGTCATATGGTACACCAGCATTATCGTCTTTTACAGCTCATTTTTTTAAAAATCGTTGAAGTGCTTGAATACAATGTTTCACATTTAAAAAACAAATGAAAAATAACCATACTAATGCATGAAAACTGTATCCCTGATACCTAGTTGGGTTTGACGAAATGGTTGGGACTTGTTTAGGGTCTCCTAGAGATCCTGAGTTGGAGTCCCACACTTATGTGCTCTTACGTAGTCATGTATGATTAATGATACATACACTTCCAATGAAGTAATTTACTATCAGGGTATAAGATCTCCAATGAAGTAATTTAGTATGCGCAGTGATATTTCGATTACTGTTATTGATGGAGAAAGCTTTGTAAGATACAAGGTGCCATAACAGTAAAAGGCTACTATAGGCATAAAAGATGAACATTAGAGAATGACAAACTGAATGGACTCTAATATAAGCTGGAAGGTAAGTCCTATAGGACGACAGTAAGACCTGCTATGATTTACAGAACATAATATTAGGCAACCAAAACTCAACTTGTAAGCGAGCCCAACCCATGTAAAGACTGAACTCTTGAGGAGTGCAAGGGAAGACATCAGCATGGGTAGCACTGTTTGGATAATTTCTTTTATTTTTATGTGGTCTGCCCCAACTAGCATGAGAAAAAATTTACCTTGTTCTGCTGCAAAATAAACTCTGCCCTTTCTAGGATTTGCAGAATGGCCCTTGAACTCTTTTAGAAATTTTCTAACTCTCCCTGGAACTACAGAAAATTGCGAAGTCCCAGCAATGGCCAAAAGTGGTTAGAATAGGCAGAATGATACTGATGTTGTCATGCACAACTGGATCAGACATGATGCCAATTGCCAATTACAAGAGAGCTGCTGGCAGCCAATGATGGTGAAGGGAGAAGCAGTAAATAACTACTTTGGAAGAAGTATGTAGACGGAATGGTTTGATTAGGAAAGCCTTGGCTCTGATACCATATAGAGAAATAAAGGGTTTCAAAACAGTTTGTAAGTAATGTACAAGATGGGATTGAGCACCGAATATTTAACAGAACAAAATATCAAAAGCAACTCTCTCTAACAAAAAAAGACCAAACTAAGATAATGGGACGTATAAAAATCTAGTAGACAAGTTGGACATGGTCAATACATGTGCTCCTACTAACTGTAAAATATTTATACTTTCAACCTCAGTAATAGGTGAAAAGGTTGGGATGTTTGTATACACGAACTGACTTTGTTAAACAAAATTGGCTCAAGGCCCATGCATTGAACATTCTGGGTTGGTCATAGGCTTTGGGCTATATATATATATATATAGAGAGAGAGAGAGAGGAGCGATCAAATGAAAATCGCCCTCATTTGTGTAAACCATGTAAACCAATCTCATCCATCAATTTTCTTGATCAATGGTCAAAATTAGTTTAGGTTATATTAGAAAATTAAAAAAAATTAAAAATAAAAATTTATTTTTATAATCCCAAAAAGGGCAAAATGGTAACTTTGGTAGTGGTAATATCAATGGCAACCATATCATGTATATCGTAATATTAATGAAAAAAATCATTTGTAAAATAATATATTAATTTTATGTTCAAATAATATAAAAAAAATAACATCCATCATTAAAATAGATCAACAATAAAAATAAAACACACTATAATCAATTTAACATAATGAAACCTTTTGAATGATAATAATAATAATAATAATAAATTACTACTACATTCATGAACGAAATGGTTTCACAGTTTCATCAATACACAAATCAACGTAATGCTAGATGAGACATTTGTCATTTTCAAGTTCCGGTAGATGGATCCGTTTCAATCTAATTATGAAATGGTTTCACTTTCTTCATGCACCCATTTCATCATCCAATTTCTTTCACTTATGAAATGGTTTTACTTCCTTCACGCACCCTATTCATCATGCACCCTATTCATCATGCACCCATTTCATGATGCACCCATTTCATAATCATTTTCACTTACTTCATGCACCAATTTCACCATGTATGAAACCGGTTTCATCATGCACCAATTTCATATTCATTTTCACTTGCTCCATGCATCAATTTCACCATGTATGAAACCGGTTTCATGAATATTTTTCTTTATTCTATTACTGATTTCATGGATTTATTGATCTAATAACTTACTATTTTCATGAATCTTGGCAATAATAAACCGAGACACAATATAACAAAATCCAATTTTTAATATTATAATTTAATTAAATATTTAAATGTTACCATTTATAAAAAATCCTTTATTATGTTACCTTAATTAAGATTTATTAATAACTTCCATATTTAATAGAAAACAATGCAAATGACCAATATATCCTTAATAATTAAATTTAATTAGAAAAAAATGGAATTTTCCTATTGGTCGAAATTAGTTTACACGGTTTCTAAGAAATGCAAGGTTTTCATTTGAACTTGCCTCTATATATATATATATATATATATATATATATATATATATATATATGCCTTGGGCCAGGTTTCCAACCAGTTTTCCTTTATGTTCTTTCATCCTTCCATTACTGCATCCATGAAACATATACAATTCACCAGGATTGAAGTCAAGTGCACGAATTCGACAGGATAGTTGAATCCTCAAGATGGCATACAGGACTACTGCACTGGTAGGAGGGAATTTTCGTCTTAGGAGATTGCTATGAAATCCTCTATCCAATTCGAGAAAACTCAAGATTCGTTGGGAAGTTCTTCATCAAGTTAGTGATTTTCTTCCTAATCTCTTTACTGTATTTGCTATATCGTTGTTATCTCTATGTTATTTGAGCAGATATAGATTATTTCAAATAGTTATTAACATATTCTGTGATAGTCATTGACCCCTAGCTGTCTTGCTCAAATGGTTACCTGCTTACACTGCATAACGGATGCAGAACTTCAAGGCACCACCAGGTAAACTACTCATCACTATCAACAAGAGAAAACTATCAGAAGCCTGTAGGGAGGAGTTACTTACACCCTGGTAAAATCCAACTCCAACTCCATAATAAGCTAAAATGATTTGGGTAGCTCGTTCAAATATATGTGCCAAAGGAAGATATGATATGTATCTGTAGCACAACATACCAAATCTTTAGTAATATTAAAACATCAGTTTCAGCATAACGAACAATGCACAAATATTTTTAGTTTTTCATAATTGAATGACTCACATGTCTGAAGGGTAGAATGTCATTCGAAGACTTTGGCCAGCAACATTGGCAATTAAGTTCTTATGAGAAAGTACAGCGCCCTTGAAGAAAAGAATGAACGTCAGATTAAAGGAGTCAAACATCAAAATGATGAGGTGAAATTCACGCAAAATTGAAGGAAAACCTTTGGCATCCCAGTTGTTCCACTTGTATAGCATATGGTAGCTATATCCTCTGGTTTTGGTGGACAAAATGATTTCGGGTAATTGTTACCCTGAAAAATACCGAGACATCATATTCTAGAAAAGTGTCGGACATTATTAAAAACAACTAATCACATCAACCACAGAATAACAGCTAAAGACCATAGCCAAAAGTAATTTAAGAAGTCCTTTTTAGTACTAAACAAAGGAAGACATGTTCAAGAGTTCGGGAATCTCAGGCTGGATACACATTATGAACAAAACATTAAACAAAGCTATGCTATGTGGTCATCTACCACCGCAAGTCAGACATACTTCATTGAAACTTGAAATTACCACATAGAATATAAACTCTAGCAAGTACTGCTACTCCCTCCGTCCCAAAATAAATGTCCACATTTCAATAGTAAGTGCCTACCCTTAATTCTACCCTTAATTATGAGATGGATTCATTGCACCCTCTATTATTAAGGGTAAAATTGTCATTTAGTTAATCAAATAGTGTAATAGGGTCAGGTTTAGGGGAAAACCGCATAAAAGGAAATCTTGAGGAATACCTTGATAACCATTCCTTTGTATGGTATGCCCATGTGTATACAAGTAATTTATTCGATATGCACATGTGCATAACATGCACACATGCATAGAAACCAAGAAACAACTTCAATTACTTGTATGCGTATATGCATATCGTACAGACGAATGGTTACCAAGGTGTTTTTCAGTTTTTCATTTTTTGGTGTTTTCTCCCAAACCTCCCTCTGGTGTAACAATTACACATTTATAATTGTGTCTTTTTCGTAGTGGACATTTATTTTGGGACAGAGGGAGTACATGGAGTATTCAAGAAATGTTTATGTGCAACATACAAGTATATAAATATTCCACACAATCTAAAATTACCTGAATCTGCAGTTTTCTATATGTTATGATCTCAACATTTGTTTGCAGTGGAAGGGATGCCATTTGATCATCGCTGGCTCCAACCACCTTCACAGTGGTAAATCAGATTAGTTAAGGAATAAACAGTATTATTCATCTGGATTGATAGTACACTCATTACTGATAAATTGGGTTTCATACCACTATTAGATGAACGGACGGAATTTCAGGCAAGAAGCTCAGCAACTGCAATATGGCACAAGTATTAAGATAAGTATACAACTAAGATAAACTTAACTTTGATATCTTTAATGTGAAAGTACTAAAGATTGCAATATAGATAAATGCTGCAGCACACAAGGTCTGCAGTTGTTAAGCAATAGATGACACAGTATTAATCTCTTAACATATAAGCATATTTGAATTCCTAAACAAATATGGGTAATACTCCCCCACCCCCCACCTCCTCTTTTGCAGGGTAGTGAAAGTAACTGGTGAAGAAGAAATCTCAACACTATCTGTGATTTATTAAATATTTCATATGGCAACTAACAAGAAAAAATCATATATCAGGCTAGTCGAGAAGGTAACAAGCTCACATTTTTTAATGTCTGTGGCACACAAAAGATAACTTGCACAGCTGCTTGATTGACAACGAACTTTACAGCATCTGAACCTGTTGTAGAAAATAAATAAAAGGATAAATAGTAACAAAAAACGAAACCCAGCCAATTACGTTTATGTTACAATTTATGAGACAGAAGACCACCAAATAACTAACCAAGTGTATCATATAAAGGAACTGATATATACGAATATGCAGAGCATGCATGATCCACTAGTAGCCACTCTGGTCTGTTGTTAAAATATAGTCCAACACAGGAACCCTGTTGTAAAACTCAACAAAGGACAGAAATATTAGGATAGAGAAACAGATTTCATAAACATACCAATAGAGTAAAAAAAATAACAAAACTTCCACCATTCATCGCAGGAATGATGATTAACTATACTGCTTCTTGTTCCAAAAGACAAAAAGAGATGCAGTAAGATATTATGATGTTAACCTAGTACAGAAAAACTGATTAGGATTTTGCTGCTAATTTCAACAAACATCTTTCAATTAGTAGTACCTGTGCAAAGTTAATATAGTAAATATTTCTACAGGAAGCAACCTTTTGATTGATCAAAGTTGAAATATACCTCTTTTTGTTTCAGTAATAAAAATATCACTTCTTTGAATGGAAGGAGTAAATTTAATTAGCTTGCCTTTGGTATCCCATGATACACTAAACCAGAACCAATTTCCAAGCGAGCAATACCTGCTTCCCTGTAAGTCGTCCACCGGTACCTATAATATAATACACAAATATATCAAGTATTTAAAGGAAAAAGTTCTACAAAAATATACTTGACGACTTACTCCCCAACTGTTCCATCTACCCCAACCCGTGTTCCGAGATATTTGTTACTCCCATATGTCTCCACAGCATGCCTATAATTAGAGATCGAAGAAAACAATTTGTTTACCTAAGATGGATATTAGAAGATGAAAATTACATCATAACTGACAAGTTGCATTCAGTAAATGGAGACTCACACAAAGTTATCATGCAGTGTTGCTATTTCAGGATGATCATGAAATCTACTCACAAGCTCCAAAGGTGAACAAACCGATCTGTCGTGGGAAAAAGGTATCTAAATGACCATTTTAACTGATAGAGAAGAAGACCAATAATCAAATACAAACCCAATAAATGTTACAAGCCCCTGAAAACCAATCCAAACCATTCAATGAGTTTGATTTTAAGTTATGATTTATATTGTTTCATATGTTATGTTCTTGCATGTGTGTATGTGTGCGACTAAGTGCACTTCATATATAAACATATTTTCATGTATTTTTCCACACACAGAAGTCCTAAACGTTTTATATGCGAAACAACACTGTATGGACACTGCATGTTTCACATGTGCGGTTTCATATACGAAACAACACATGAAACCAATTTGTAAGTTTGTAAGAATATTGGGTTTGTATCTGATTTTCCCTCTAGAGATGAATAGGTGCAAGGAGATGACTCTGACCTGAGCACATTCCACTTCCCTGTCTGCAAATTTTCGGGAAGAACAACACTGTAACCTTGCTCTGGCAACATATAAGACCAGCATAAGTCATGTTATCAAAACATTTAAAACAAAAAGAGCCTCTTTGTAATCTCTTATTCTCCTGCAATAGATTTACAATTAGCAGTACAAAATATCACAATTCTAAGAGATTAATCCCACTCCTTAGGTAACATAAATGTTAGAATATTGCATAATATTCTGAAAATAGTTTCCTTATATTGTAATATTCTAGAGATAGTTTCCTAAATTGTTGTAACTCCCTACAACTCATGTATATATATATTTGTGATAATGCAATAGACAAGAACGGCCAAGGTTCTCTCCAACATGGTAATCAGAGCATAAGGTTATTCTCTCAATATTTTCTTAATAATTTTTTCCCCTCTCTTTACTAAACCCTAGTCGTCGCCCACGTTCTACAACTTTCTGAAGCACTAGCTCCTTCTTCAATGGCAGAATCATCCAAAGCTTCTACCTTTCATCCAGCCCTCTCAATCTCCAATATCAAAAATTTCATTCCCGTAACCTTGGATGTGGAAAAAATACAATACTCTTGGGCAAAACTCTTCTAGATTACTGCTCATGCTTATCAAGTGCTCGATCATATCGCTCCTAAGCAGAAAGCCAAAGAAGTTGATAAAGACCTCTGGGATCGCCTCGATGCAATGGCACAATTTCGAATGACCTTCATAAAATTCTTGAACCAGACTCTACGGCTCAACAAGCATGGGATCGTCTTCGCGATATTTTCCAAGATAATAAGAACTCTCGTGTTGTATACTTGGAAAACTAATTCTCCATCCACTCATCTCCAAGATTTCCCGAATTGCTCCGCTTACTGTCAAAAGCTGAAAGTTCTTGCAAAGCAATTGGCTAATTTTGACTCCCCTGTGTCAAACAACAAACTTGTTCTTTGTCTAGTAGCGAGTCTCACCGAGGTTTACAGTGGCGTCACCACCATTATACAACAAAGTGATCCCCTCCCTCCTTTCTACAAAGCACGTTCGACGCTAACCTTAGAAGAAACCAGACAAAGTAACAAGCCGCTACCATTATCCTTCTGACACCGCTCTCATGTCATCCACTAATGCCTCTCGTCACACTGATCCAACCCCCTCTCTGCCGTCATACAAGGGTAGCAACAACAATTGACAACACGGACGTGGTCATGGTGGCCGTGGCAGAGGCAATAACGGCCGAGGGCGAGGTCATGGTGGCCGAGGGGGTACTTCAGAGCAGCACAGTCAACAATGGCAGCCTTTCCTACAGTCTTGGTCCTACCCACCTTGGGCTTGGTCGCAACAGCCATAGAGCATTCCATCATGTCCCTATCCTAGCAACCCATGGACCAAGCCACAAGGACCTTTGCGCCCGTCTTCTACAGCACCGGGAGTTAGAATGTGAATACGGTATATATTTGCTTAGGCCCATTAATCCCATGGGCCCTTAGGGTTTCTCTTTTTTCTAGGTTTTCTGCCTATATATATATATATATCCTTGTATCCTTACATGGTATCAGAGCTCGGTTTCTTAACAATCACTAGTTTCGCGGATCGAAATTTTTTGGTACGTTTCTTTCCTTAGATCGAAATTTTGTTCATCGTTTTTTTTTCTTGATCGACAAGTTTCCTTGGGTAGGAAGTTTTCTGTTCATCGGTTTCTTTGGCACCCTGCGAGTGCGATTGTTCTCATCTCTGTTCGTCGGCTATTTGGCACCCTGTGAGTGTGTCATTCGCTTTCTGGTTTGCTATCCTTCGTCCTAAGTTCTACGTTCTCTCTTTTGGTTCGTGATTTATCTGAAGATGACTGGAGAAGACAAAACATCTGACAGTAACAGTAGTTTACATGTACCCGAGATGCTTCCAGTAAATGTTAAGCTCACCGACAACAAGCTTAATGGCTCCAACTACTTTGAATGGCTCCAACTTCCAGTAAATGTTAAGCTCACTTACTATGCATTATCTTTATTGAGCCTTCTCTTTCGAATCTATAGTGTTTTAAGTCCTCTCATCATGGAGAACAACATGACTGATCACTCACTACGTATGTCATGGAGTTCAAGAAAGTGCATGAGGAGCTTAACTCTCTTCTTCCATTAAGTGTTGATGCTAAAGCCATGCAGACTCGGAGGGAACAAGTGGCTGTTATCAGTTTCTTGACTGGTTTGCGACCAGAATTTGACTCTCAGATCTCAGTTCTTGAATGAATCTGCTATTCCTTCCCTTCAAGAAACATTTGCCCGTGTTCTTAGGAATGAGAATCTTCAGGCTTCTCAAACTTCTGATCACAATAGTGCTGTAGGTCCAGGGGATTTCGTGGTGGCAATCGAGGATGATTTCGTGGGGGTCACCGTGGTGGCTATCGAGGATGATTTTGAGAGGGCCATCGTGGTGGCTCTAAAGGTGGCCACAGTGACCGAACAACTAACTCACGGGATACTATTCCAGATTCTGATGATGTTGAGTGTTACTACTGCCATGAGTTAGGTCATACCAAGCACACATGTAAGAAGCTTTTGGCCAGACATCCGAGGAGTTCATCAACGCACGTTGCCTCTGCCTCAGATAGTACTGTTACTATACACGCAGAAGAATATGTTCGACAGTTTTAGGGATTGAGAATTCCACTGCTCCGACTACTGCATTTGCTGAGAGAGGTAAATTCTAGTACGTGCTTAATATCTTCTGCTTCCAAATGGGTCATTGATTCAGGTGCTTTAGATCACATGACAGATAATCCCACCATCTTCTCTAATTTCAATAAACACAAATCCCCGTCACATGTCACAATTGCTGACGGGTCTACCACACCTGTCCTTGGTTTTGGCACCATCGATCTTACCCCGCTTGTTTCGTTATCTTCCGTATTAAGCCTATCTAATTTCTCATTCAATTTGTTATCAGTCAGCAAAATTACCCGTGCTTTAAATTGTTGTATCTCATTCTTTCCTGATTTCTGTGTCTTTCAGGATCTGTCGACGAAGAGGATTTTTGGTAGAGGGCGGGAGACTGATGGCCTATACATATTTGAACATCAAGTACCTTCCTCATTGACTTGTTCCAGCTCATCATCTCCACTTGAAGTTCATTGTCGATTAGGCCATCCATCTTTACAGAATCTGAAGAAGTTGTGCCCTCAGTTTCCTTGTTTACCTTCTCTACAGTCTGAGTCTTGTCAGTTTGCCAAACATCAGCGTATTCATTTAAGTCCTAAAGTATGTAATAAGCAGGCCTCATCCCCATTTGAGTTAGTCCATTATGATGTTTGAGGACCTCTTGTTACTTCAAAACTTGGGTTTAAGTATTTTGTTACGTTTGTTAATGATTACTCTCGCACTACTTGGCTTTACTTTATGAAAAATCGATCAAAGGTATTCACACATTTTTGTTCACTCTATGCTGAGATTAAAACCCAGTTTCAAGTGTCCCTTCAAACTCTCGTAGTGATAGTGCAAAAGAATATTTGTCACAAACATTTCAGTCATATATGATTCAAAATGGCATTCTTCATGAGTCTTCCTGTGACATCAGCCCAAAATGGGGTTGCGAAACGGAAGAATCGTCATCTCCTAGAGGTGGCTTGGGCTTTATTATTTCACATGACTGTTACTAAAATCTTCTAGGCTGATGCGATTGCTACCGTTTGTTTTCTTATCAACCGAATGCCTTCCATTGTCTTGGATGGTAAAAGTTCTTTCTCAGTTCTGTTTCCTACAAAATCATTGTTTCTGATGTAAATTGGTCGTAATCGGTGGTTTTCTATTGAATTGAATTACACGGCTTTCGAGAGGCCGACTCTCTCCCTCTGAGCTTGCGCCCTTTTACAACTCACAAAACAATATGAAAGCTAATCTAACAAACTCACCACTATAAAGGAGTTGTTTCCATTATTCTACTGAGGAATTACCAAACTACCCTCCTCTTATTTACATCTAAAGTAAACTCAACGACTTAGACTTTCTTTTGTACGTAAAGCGAATAGTAGGCTTATCAATACCTACCCCCAAAGCTTTCACCTTGTCCTCAAGGTGATTATTTGGAAAATGTCGAGCCAAAGCCTCCAGATTCTCCCAAGTCGACTCGAAATCGAACAGCCCTTTCCACTTGACTAACACTTCCAAACTTCCTGCATCATTTTTTCCCATCGGTCTGACATCCAACAAGGCTTCGGGCTCTACTTGTAACACCATATCCTCAGATACTTGAGTTGGTATGTTTTTCGTAACCAAACAATTACCGAGAGCTTTTCTAAGTTAAGATACATGAAAGACTAAATGTATCCTTACACCCTCCGGTAAGTCTAAACGATAAGCGACTTTACCAAGATTTTGTAAGGACCATAAAATTTTGCAATCAACTTTGGACTATTCCCGTTCACAAGGGATTTTTGTCGATACGGTCTAAGCTTCAGAAAAACCCAATCACCAACAACAAAATCCACCTCGGTTCTTTTCAAATCAGCTTGCTGTTTCATTCTACACTGCGCCTTCAAAAGAAGCATTTGCACCTAATCCCATATCTCATCTCGACTCATCAATTCCATATCCACTGACCGAAGCATCTTTATAACGTAATAAAGGAGGAGGATCCCGTCCATTTAACACCTTGAACGGAGAACATTTAAGAGCTGTATGATACGCCGTGTTGTATTGACAGCTCTGCCCATGACAACCATTTGCTCCATTGGCGAGGTCTATCTGGAATCCAACATCTCAAATATTGTTCCAGCCTTCTGTTCACCACTTCGGTTTGACCATCCGTTTGTGGATGATAAGCCGAACTAAATTTCAGAGTCGTCCATTGCAATTTGAACAATTCTTTCCAGAAATTACTCTGGAATATTTTGTCATGATCAGAAATGATTGAATTGGGGATCCCATGCAACCGGATTATCTCCTTAGAAAATACCTCTGCTACCGATTGAGCCGTAGAAGGGTGTTTTAAACCCACAAAATGAGCGTATTTGCTAAATCTCTCTACCACCACCAAAATAGAATCCAGACCTCCTGAAATTGGTAGT